TGATCATTCAGTTCTTCAGGGCAGAATCATATGATCTATACTGTTATACTTATCGGCAAGGATTAAAGCAAAACAGATTGTTAAAAAAAAGTCATTTTTGCGCTGTGTTTTGGATGTCGCGGTTTTTAGCAGTTTTCGGAATTCCGACTGCATGGTTTTCAATTTTTAGTTGGCACCAATGGTTTCCAGATTTGCGCGTCTTGAGATGGCTTGCACTTTTCTATCACGCCACACGCAAGCCCAACTCCGGACCGAGGAGTTTGCCCCGCACCGGTGATAACCGACACCAAATTTGCCGACACCACCCGAGAGCCCGGTCCGCGTGGCAGGCGAAACGCCGCAGCGGCCCCCGAGGTGGCCCCAGGGGTCCCGCCGAAGAGCAAGAGAAGCGCCGTGGGAGCAGCGGCCCTGGGCTGACATGAAATTCGTCCACAGTCAAGTTCGAGGTTTATTAACCATCCAGTTTCTACAAAGGAGTGATGCCAAAAACGAAAACGAAACTGAAACTAAAACCAGAAATGATAGCTAGCATAGCTCAACCGAACTACTTGGCGCCGTGACACAACTGAAAAAGGAACCTTCGCACGCCCGAACGACCGCACTCGCCGTGCACTTTGGCCAGCTTTGACTCCTCTGGCGCGTCACGCATTCGTGCACTTGCCACAGAACGTCAGGGACGTGCTGTTTCTACCTCAACGGACTCTAGTCCTAAAGCAGAAACAAGCGGCGCCCCACTTTGGCTGAGGCCTTGCCTCCTCAAGACGGTGAGTGTTTAGGTTTGATTTTCCGATTCTCCGTCTCCCGACCTGTTGGACCGCGCTTAACTCCGCTGTGACGAGTGCGGGCAGAGGATGTCGGCATTGCTCAACGGTCTTACTTTCGTTTCTCTGCGCGCGCGTCTCGTCTGCATGGGATCATCTACAACCCCTTAGAGGTGACTGGGCTGTGTGCTTTGGTACATAGTCCAGTGTGTCGTTTGATGCTCGGACGGGTATTCGGTAAAGCTACTGGAGTAAGTTAACAGGCCGATTTCGGAACTCTAAATGGCGCGTTTTTATTAGCGATCGACCGAATTTGCCGGACTTCAGATTCGGAAAACTTCGGCGCATGCTGAACTTTTGAAAGAAAGGTGGGAACAAATTTGGCAAACGCCTGTGCACGCGCGAGAACGCTACGGGGACATAGATTGCAAACGGTAACCGTGCGGTCGTGCGGTTACCATCGTACAGTGTAGTACCAGTAGTACTACCAGCGGTTATGGCGAGGCAACGGCGAGATTCGGAATAGGCGACATGGTAGCTGTGTTTGTCATTATTTGTGAGTGTGGTTCTCTTCAATATGCTACACCTCAAGAACAGAAGATCAACCGGGAATCGACGCAGTCCACTGCGCAAATGTCGAATGATGCGGATGCGCTGTTGTTTTTCTTTGTTTTGTTTTTTTGAGTGTGTGTGTGTTTTTTAAGGCAATGTACGAAATTTTTAGAACATAGCTACATTTCAACTTTACTGTCCTCATCAATCAATTCGTGTTCTTTTTGCTATTCCCATTTTTCATGAATGTCTTGCTTTTAACTAGGGATATCCGGAACCACCCTAGGTCCGATTTGGAAAGGTTTCGATACTTTCGAAGCGAACTGAGTTTCGAATTCGCAAAACTTCGATATTTTCGTACTGACTGATGTTCGAATTCGAAAGATTCGCAACCTTCGATCACAGTGCAGTTTCGAAATCGAAAACTTCGAAGCTTTCACGGTTTCTAAAATTTCGGGTTCGAATATTTCGAATATTTTTTTTTTTACTTGACGTTCGATAATTTCGAAGATTCCTAACTTTCCTAACTTGAAATTCGAGATATTCGAAACTTTCGATATTCTTGGGATCTGAAATTTGAAAAATCCGAAGATTTGAGATTCTTTGGATATAAAATTCGGTAATTTCGAACGCTTCAAATTTGTATACACAATAAGTTCGAAAAATCGAAGATTTCGAACTTCTTTCTACATAAAGTTCGAAAAGTTCGGAGGTTTAGATTCTCTTTTAAAACTAAATTTGTAAAAAAAAAAAAAAACTTTGAAGTTGTTAAATTTTTTTTAGGTCCAAGTTTTTCAAGTTCGAAGTCCAGTTTTCATGTTCCTCCACAGTTTCAGTTCCAAAGATTGTTTTCACGACCCACTGGTTTTCACGAAATCAGATGTAGAAAAGTTAGGGCGTGATATTTAGACTCCGCAGTGTGACGTGTGACCATAGATCAGTAATTGTGACCGCCAGCCCCGGGAACGCACTGTTTTACGATACTCATCCAGTTTGAAACGGCCAGGGACGGGCAAGAGGTTGAAGCTCAGAAAAATCTTGAAGCGACCTGGCAAACTACCTCCCTACCCCTTGCACGCTGGGAGTAATCCAATCGAACGCCACCCGAGTGATGCTGGCATATAGTAAATTAAGTTTGTAATTGTCCTGGAGGTTTATATTCCGGGACGGAGGAAACGCCTCGCATTAAATATAGAAGCCGACAGAACTCGAGGTCGAGGAACGTTCTACCGTACCAGTAGCGTCGGAAGAGGAAAAACGGAGTGGGGGCGGGCGGGCGGGCGGGTGGGTGGGTGGGTGGGTGGGTAGGTGGGGGGGGGGGGGGGGGGGCGCCGCGGGTTGCGGCTCCAGCCCTCCCTTTTCCCTTACAGATATTTCGGACTGTTACAGAAAACAATACGGAAAAAGAGGGCGTAATGTCGAGCTTATTTTAGTCTGAAATTATTTCTGCATATGTATAGCTTCTGTCGCTATACATGTTGGGGAAAACAGCTCAGAAAACACGGACTACGAAGAGGAACACACACGACAGGACAATGCTTCTGTCGCTCTCCACTGCATGAAGATCGCGTAGATGGTCATTCTCGAAAAGTCGTTGTCAGAAGGCACTATTCGTCACATGCTTAGTGGTTAGGAAGTACACAGCTATGTCTTTTCGACCTAAATAACTGTGTCATTGATGAAAAAAAAAAAACAAAAAAAACATAATAAATGCGGCGACAAACTACTGCAGAAAAAAAAAACTATCAAGAATTTGCCGGAAGTGTGGTTTTCTAGCATATTCAGGGGCTAAAAACTTCGAAACAAGTTTCTCCTACCAAAATGTGTACAGGCTAAAAGAAACACGTCCCAAGAACGTGAAGCGAAAAAACAAATGTTTATTTTTTAATGACGGGCTGAACTTGAACAATATTAGATATCTTCTCCCATGAGTTAATTTATTCCTTAACGTGAAAAAAAATGATACATAGTTTTAGATTCTGCAGCTGCCAGTGATAGGTACTGTCTGTAGTGCTAATATAAATGCGATACCTCAAACAACTTAGACGAAAAAAAATACCAAGTTTAGGGCATAATTACCCGCAGATACATGTGTGGACATTTCTTCGAAACTTGGTTAACAATAATCACAACTTAAGACGACACTTACCTAAGCTATACATAGATCATTCTTACAAAGTTTAACATCTCTACCATAAATAGCTTCGACTAAAGCGCACTTCGAATATGGCACAAAAGACAATCGTCAAAAAACCGTTGTCCTTCCTCGCCCCTTTGGGATTTTTTTTTTAAACTAAGCATGCGAGAACATTGACATACACGGCATTGTCTTTCGTAAGGAACGCAGCACCGCATGTAAAAATTCGAGAAAAAAATTACGAATGTACCTCACTACTTGAATTCAAATAAAATCGTCCGCCAGTCTATCGAAGTTCGACTAACGTCGAACTTTTACCCTAAAAGTTCGAAGTTCGTTGACCTTTTGACATTTTAGGATTCGAAAGTTCGAAACTTTTCAAATTATCTTGATAAATAAGTTCGAAAATTATCGAATTCCTTAGCGTAGGAGATTCGAAAGTAGGAAATTCGAACTTTTTAGTGCAAGGAGGTCGAAAGTTTGACAAGCATCGAATTTTGCAGCGTAATAAGTTCGAAAAAGGTCGAATTTTTTTGCGTCATAAGTTCGATAAGTCTCCATTGGCCATAAGTCTTTTCACTGGTATACATCCGGTGGACCCAAAAGCGGGTCAGCCGGCCTCAGCTTACCCATTGGACAAGAGCACTGCGTCACTATACTACTGCGTTCAACCCTAAGAAGACAAATTCGGTGAGAGCTACGCGCTTGCCAGACAACTCAGCCGTTCCCCTTTCATCACCTGACCTCATTATGTACGCGTGGGTAAGCGCGACGTAGCCTGATCACGTGGCAAGAGGTTAAAGTGTGGCTGGCCCAACGGGCATGTATAGCTTCCAAATCACTCGCAGCTTAGCGGTGGACTGAGAATAGTTTCGCGCAGCTCTGCGGTAGCCACGTGCGCAAAAGGGGGGAAAACAAGTTTTGTCCGAATTTTGAGGGACGAGCTAATCTTTGGGGAGAGAAATCCCAACATTCACGACCTATAGGGGGCGCACTGGTGCCTCTCAACTTGGCTGTCATCTGGATGATCGTCGTAGAACAGCGCTACGAGGCTGGGTCTGCGACGGGCAAGTAATTTTAGTCTTGCTATATGCGAGCAGCATTCGAGCTTTACGTTATTTTTTCGCGCCAGGAAGGTGTAGGCAATCCCATTTATTATAAAGCCAATCATCCAGGAGCTAGGTAGCGCGATTCTCACACCGCGGTACCACCATCGCCGAAAGCTGCGAATGGCGATGTTCGGGTACACATTACTACACATAAGAGGGTCCGCGTTAGAGGAGAGTTCTCCCTTTCTCTCCTCTTCAACTGCCAGCGGTATGCACTCGCCCCTGTACCTCTGGCAACTCTGAGCGACGTGTGATTTGAGCAAAGCTGAATTAAGTCGATGCACACAACTCTTGTCGTTAGGATTTGTGCCAGTATCGCGCGACGCTGAGATATCGGGTGTCGATGATGAGTGTCGCTAGGCACCGTGTGTAATTAGGGTTAGTTCTCGTTTGAGTCCCTTTTGTAAGTATGTAAATAAGCGCCATAGCGTGACCGGAGACATGTGGTTGTTTCAGATGGCGAAACCAGCCACTACGCCGATTGTGGCGCTGCCAAGGAGCGATCTGAGCTTCTTCTCGGATGGAAGGTACACGGACGTGGAGTTCCTGGTGGAGAATGGCTCCGACCCGCCGAAGAGGTTCAAGGCCCACAAGATGGTACTGGCAATGAGGAACGAAGTGTTTGAAGTCATGTTCTACGGAAATCTGCCCGAACAAGACAAAGTTATCATCACCGACCTGCATCCGGATGGATTCTTCTGTTTCCTCAAGTAAGAATAATAATAATAATAATAATAATAATAATAATTTTTTATTCAACATTGCAAATATAACCACTTGAGTCTCGGGTCTGGTCAAAGCAGCAGAGGCTTGTGGGACCAGATCCAGCATTTGGTGTGGCAGACCGGATATTCACACGGACTCACATTGCCGTGAACATAGGGGAAAAAACACACACACACACACACACACACATTCAATGTTTCATCAGAGTACAGGCGAAAAGTCAGAGTTGGTGTTTTAGTCGTGTTTGTATGTAGCATAAAGATGAGTCATAAAAAAAGAAAAAAGCACTGGATGGCACACATTTTCACGCACGAAATTACGCAAAAATGCAACAATAAATATCGTATTGGAGACACGAATGTATCTTGCTGAGTCAGGCAAATTGACTCAGGGTGTGTTCACACAAAAAAACAAAATGCATAGGAACAAATAGAAAATTTCACACAATACATCCACTAGTCAAGTTGTGTGTCCAAAAAAAAATAAAAAAGTGCTTTAGTAAAAAAGAAAAGAAAAAAGAATGACACAAGGGAATATGCAATATGTAAGGACAAAGAAACAAGAGTTAAAAGCAGTAAAGTTCACTGTCTATACACGTCGGAGATCCAGCTCCTCGATCTCCGACGTGTAATAATAATAACAATAATAATAATAATAATAATAATAATAATAATAATAATAATAATAATAATAATAATAATAATCATTAGAATAATAATAATAATAATCCGCGGAGAATCTTAGTGAGAGGGGGAGACGAGAGGGCGCGCGGGGACTTCAGAACGTTGAGCTCTGGTCGGAATGTTTAGTGGATAAACCTAAGGCTATTGGTGCCTTTGTCTACATTGCACTCGTGGAATGCGAAAGCCAAACGCCAAATGCCGGCATTCCGCGTCTAGTGCATTCGACGAGTGCATGAAGAAGGAGGCAGCTAGCTTTAGGCCTACCCACTAACCAATCCAACCAGTGCTGGGCCTTTTGACGTATTTGCGCTATTTTATCGTATCCTCCCTGAGTTTCTTGGCGAATACTATTATGGGTATTAATAATTCACTGTCACACATTGGAATTCAAAAGAGTGAAACGGGCAGATCAGATCCAGCAAAGAGCTTGTGTAATCAGTTCCTCTGAAAACAGTGCACCAATAGAAAACAGATGATAATTAACCTTTTTCCAGTAAGCTTCTGCGTATAGCACACCTATCCTCCGGCCTTATTGCTTCCCGTTGTTCCTATTGTCTGCGCCTATTTTCCCCGTACTTCGACGCTGTACATTTTAAATAGTCACTCGCTGGTGGCTTTTTTCAGAATAAACCTATTATCAGCAGGAAGATCCAAATCCCTATCACCGCGGCAGCCATAGCCGTTTGCTCAGCTCCATCGGAGCTCATGATTCCACGTTCAAGTTCCACGACGTTCGATAGCTGGGTTGATCGACCAGCTACACCACAGCGTTAACAACCCGTTTTATATATTGGGAGTTTGTAGTTCACGATACCCTCAGCACGCGCTCTCTTGAGAAATACGAAGAAATTGCCAACAACAAAGTGCCGCCGTAGCACAGCCAATATGCCAAGAGCTCGTGCCAAAATAATGCTTTTTGGCAGAAAATGGTGAGATTTCCGTTTTGTTCCAAATGCTTGTGTTCATGCACTCCACGGTGTGTGAAAGCAACGCCGATTCCCAACGTCTTCGACGTGACGTGTCACAGCGATAACGGGGACTGCACTGTAGATTAACATGTGACTGTTCAATATTTGGTTGCGTTGATTACTTTTAAGATTTAACCGCGAGCTAACGATGACAATATCAAAACACATGGTTGTACACGTATTGTGCACCTCTTCTATCTTTTGAATTTTAAGGTAGAAATAGGTGATAATAAAAAAAGCGTAAACGCGCACTAAATTCTGTTAAAATTGCAGATATATAGACAAATGCAAAGCAACGAATTTGTCCTGCCGTCCCCTCGAAAATATAACCACTTCCCGTTCCAGTTCCACCGCTGTAAAATAGCACGGCGGCGTTCCTACATTAAGGATGGTGCACATAGCGCGGCGTTCTCACTTAATGCAACGTCATGAAAGCTTACGTCTGCTTACGTCACGAATCGCCGGGACATCTGTGATTTTTACAAAGCGTGACTACTGGCCAGTGCAAGGAGATCGCCTGGCACGCGGCATTCGAGTCAGGAATGTTTCGGTGAGTTGTATGTAAACTAAGAAAACGGTCCTTTGTGATACAGCCTTCACTCCTAAACAGAACGCGTTCCAGGAACACCGTTCCGTGCTACACTACTGAACGACGACATTGCGGTCTTACTGATCGCTAAAATTCACCATTTCATTTCACCATCAACTTTCATTGAACGTTAGAGGTCAACAGGTGCTCTAATAGATGTCTCGCCCTTGTGCGAATAAGACATCGGTCGTTTGAGTCGCAAACAAGCTTACAAATTACCGATTCCGACGTTCTATAAAAAAATGGGAAGCGGGGGGTGTCTGCCGTTAGAAGCACGTGCAGATTCACGTACACAACTGGACTATTACGATGTGTTTAGACCCCTTCGGCGTGAGTACCCCGCGCGGAATCGAACCCAACTCTTTCCAGGTCAGTGATTTATTAGGGAGTTTTAGAATAGCGCACGCTAAAGCTTTGCGTACGCCACGAATAGCGTCGTTGCCACTGCGCATGCGCCGAACGCAAACCACGTTTTCCGTTTTGCGTGCGCTATTTTAGCGCACGCTATTTCTCAGAAATTGCGTGCGTACGCAAAGGGTATTTGCGCTCCTCCAAGGAGGATTCGTGATGAGAAGTTGGCTAAAGCCAAGACATGCACAGTTAAAAAAATGGCGGCCCCCAGGACGATGGCTGCGGCCGCTTTGGCGGAGTCTTGAGCGCGACGTCGGCGGCATCCTCGCGACTGCGATTTTCAATACGGGACGACATTGCACTCGGTGTGCAAAGCCCAGTAAGGTGGGTAAAGATCACCGGCAACTTCATGCTTGCGACGAGCGAACATTTATCGGCGGAGGTCAGTACAGTTTTGCCGAGGCGGCGTATGCGGAGACGACCGTCGACCGCTCGCGTCGCAATCCCACGTTTAAGCAAATGTAAAATTGTTACTCCGGACAAAAAAATTTGTTTTTTTTCTCAAGTTACAGCATTTCGTGTGTGAAATAAAAAAACGTGACTGCATCTTGGTGGCCCTTGCAAGCACGAGATGCTTGGGCTTTTGCGTCGCGGCTTAGAAACGCTATTTTAAAACTTCTTTGCGTCGCGTGCTCTGACGCAAGCACTAAATCTAGCGCTAGCGTGCGCTAAAATTGTGTACGTTATTCTAAAGCTCCCTATTATCTAATTTAGAGGTAATGCTCGAAGTGCAGTTTCCAGAGATGATGTGCGCATTGAAGCGAGGATCCGGTTCCGTTTTAAAATAAATTTCTTTAATGATAGTATAAATTGGAAACATGCAGATCGAATCTGTGCACCCCAAATGAGGAGCGTTGTTAACGTTAAGTAGAGCATACAACAAAATACGCTTATACGCTAATATAAACACAACTTGTCTTTAATAACTATGCATGGCAGTGTGAAGTACAGATAACAAATACATTATCTAAGAAACATCACCACAGTTTTTTTTCTTTTTTTTTTAAATAGGCACCTACATAATTGATCTGCATCAGTGGTTTTATTAGTGAGCAAAGTATAATACTTATCCAGGTCAAGGAATATTGATATTGTAATATTTATATAAAGTTTATATCTAGATCAGTGTGCGCCTGCCGCTTCTGTCAACTCGCTTTCATTCCAGGTACCTCTACAGCCAGTCAGCCAACTTCGCCGACATTCCACAAGCACTATACATACGAAGTGCTGCTCAGAAGTACATGGAATCCAAGCTTGTGGATGCCTGCGATGCTTTCATCAAAGTCATGCAGCCACGCGACGTGTGCGCCGTCTTAAATTACGCGATAGAGCATGAAAACCTCACAAACTTTGAGAATGAAATAGGCATGCATCTGGAAAAGAGTGGCCTGCAGGTGTTAGAGTCAAGTACCTTCATTTCAGCCTCGATAGAAACCGTCATCAGGGTTCTTAAGAATCCCCGGTTGAAGGTCAAAGAATATGAAGTCATTAAGTGTGTCTACGCCTGGGCGATTGCACATTGCAGACATGAAAACGGGGAGCCCTCCGCCTCCGCACTGCGAGAGTCCATGAAGCCCTTTCTGTCAGAACTTAGGTTCCTGACGTTGAGTTCTCAGGAGTTCATCGCTGGTCCGAGTTCGTGGAACATCTTCACCGAAAGTGAAGCATTTTCCGTTCTGAGCAACATCATAACGCTTGGCTCAATGCCGTTTCCTGATGGCGTTTCCACTGTTACAGTAGGCCGGGTGCCGGCACACCTGTAACCGGCTTGTTCACGGTCCGCTAAGTAAAAATGATGTTTTCTTTTTCTTTTTTTTATGTTCGCAGACGTGACCGCGTTGAAGTGCTGAAGCAATACCGGGATACATATCTTAGAATTATCGCCATTCCTATCAGGAGGAATAAACTTAACATGTGGCAAAAGTGGCGCATTTTTTTTTTTTTTAATGAGGAAATACATAGTTTGGGTTTAGTCCGCTGAATGAAAATGCTTTCCTTGAATTAATTAGCCGTTAATTCGTGGCGCGAATCATTCGCGTCCCAGAGGTTTCCAAAAAGGTGCAATTAAGGTTCTTTACATGTGTTTGGTGTGAGTGTTTGTGTTGATTTCTTAAAAAAATAGCACTGTTTTTTTTTAAAGCTAGGCAACAGGAAGTTACGCATTTCTTATACTGATAAAATGTTTGGTTCATTTGCAGGCATTCTTCATTCTTTTGACTAGTGCAACATTTCGTTTGCGTTAGTTTAGTAAAGGAAGAAAAAAAAAAAAACGGTTGACCGCATATTCTTTTTGGCCTTGTTGAGTCACGTCTCCGAAATATCCGATATCATTCACAAGCAAGTTTCTACGCTCCACGTGTTTTGAATCCCGATCAAATAAAGTTTTGTGGAAACTTTTTATGTTTCGTATTTTTTCTAGTTATTGTAACTGCTACACCTTTGGGAAGCATATCCACGTTGCAACTGTATACCGTGATGTTTAAGTTTTTATTTGTTGCCTTTTTCATGCAAGCAAAAAGCCAAGCTAGTGCGTCCTACAAGCTCTCGCGGGCTTAAGTTGCCACATATATTAATGGAGCAAACATTGCGTTCTATTGCAAATTAGGTTCTCATTAACTTTGTTACGTGCCACCTGGGTCGCTAAATTCGTCAAACACAAAGCTGGGACCGAAGTTCGCGGAGTGTGCTGATTGGACTTTGGCGACGATGACGTTTCGTGGGACTAGATGTCAATCATCCGAAATCTCGCGGTGCTCAAATGGACCTTTTGCAGAAATATCGGTTCCAGAGTAATTGGATCTGCTAGGCCCTCTCTCTCTTCCATCTGGTCGAGCAGAGAGGGAGGATGGTTTCTTTTTATCGACTTCCGGGCAGAAGCTAACCCACGACGAGGACAAAGGCGAGATTCGGGGAGCCGTATCTAGTTCACGCCGGCTCAATAGACTACTTCCATACATCCCTGCATGCAACACGGCGCGCGTTGCACTCTGAGAACTAGTGTGCCAGGGAGGAGAGTGGCATGGTTTCGGTTTCGATCGACACGTCGACAAGAGGTTATACACAGAGCGTGAACTATAAACAGCCGTTGTCTCATATTTTCTGGTCCCGAGAGCGTCATTTTTTGTCTCTAAACTAACCTAAATGCTTATACCCCGATGCTTTAGCACAAGCCCTAGACGTATAGCTTGCCTTAACGCATGTTTGTTCTATTTTTGTACTTGAGCCTTTCTCTTAGTGTTTCGAGGTATGGGGACGAGCCAGTGCTGGGAATCTCGACGCTGCGCAGCTCGGGTACCTTGCTTGTGTACGAATCAACAAGCTGTAGCAAGCAATAAGTATGCATACATCGAGCTCGAGCCTTAACACCGGTGTTGTTGATCGGGAAGTATTTTTGTTTCGTGCGTCCATAGACGAAATATAACTTTTTGCAATTACTGTTTTTTTTTTTTTTAATACGCTTGAGTATGCGAGGTAAAACTAGCGAGTCGCCATTGAAAAGCTGAATTTGAAGACACTTCCCGTCTCTTATCTGTACTGCCCCGCAGCACCGCACGAAGTAAAGTCCCCACCCGCTTGCATTACGCTAATATTCAACATCGCGTTTAAAAATAAAGTTATCCTGCAATCTTATAGGCACATTGGCACATATAAACCGTTTTAAGAAATCAGAAGTCGAACACTTGTGTGAAGAATGTCGCACCGTTCGCCGGAAGTGCGCCGGACTGGCATGAACACCTATGCGGTGCGCCAAACGAACGAAATTATTCAAAGCGCATTTGACGGTTGCTAATGGCCATAATATTTGTTATGTGTTTGCTTTCTTCCTGCCTGAGTATACCGAGATAATTTCAGACACACCGTTCAGGCACAGATCTTGGGCGTCAATAAAAGCTCGTTCAAAAAGGCTTAGCGAGGAGTAGGGGACGCTAGTTAGGGGCTTCGAGCAGGTCTCAGTGTTTGCGAAAACTTAATCTTTTATCAGCATAAAATTTTAGTGTAAGATATGTGATGACACGACGAAGACATGATAGTACCTTTTGTGCAGTAGTGAGGTCGAATTTATTGCGTTTCCTCAAAAGTTCATGCGCCAACGCTGGGCTCAACTTTGAGACTCCTGTGAGGACGCGGCTTGCTTTTCGCGCAATGAAGTAACAAGAAGCGGACGTTTGGCAAACAAAATACGTGTAGGGTTCAAGGTGACCAAATTTCAGTTGTAGTTCACTGGTACTAGTCGGGATTACTGACATTGAGCTCAAAGATGCACTCGTGGGGTGAGGTGACTATAGCTACGTCTTACTACGTTTGCATACGCACGCACAATATCCAGCGTTTCGGGGAACCAAGGAAAGTAAGTGCCCGCTCTTCGTTTTGTATCACTCGAGAGTGAGTGTATTGTACATTCGCAAAAAGTCAGATAATCGAAAACGCAAGCAGCGCGTTTGGTCGCGGCGTGATAGCATGAGATGAAGCTGCTCAATCGAAACCGAAACTGAGTGGCCAACCAGTTCCCAGAGTGCACTGCGTGGTATTTCGCCGCGATGGGGCGCGTCGGTTTTGGAAGAAGTTTATTGGCAAAAAGGATGTCGCTGACGTTTTGGGTGTCGAACGGGTGGGAGGGGAATTGCGCGCGCGTTGTTTTCTAGCCACTTCGTTTCGGACCCAGTCGCGTGTCTAGGTGGCAGTACAAATTTGGCCAATGGTGAATTCGAGCGAGGTTGTGAAACACGGTGATTTAGCGAGCTTCATCGGAGCACTCGCAAGCAACATCGCGGGCCCAGCCGATTGAACGGCTGCACTGATGACGTCGCGCCCGCGTGTCCCTATATCCCTACGCCGCGAATGCTGTGTAAATTGTCACTAGGCGGGATGTGAATATTTAAGAGGCCAGGTTCACGACGAGCATATTAGGTTATGACAACTTTGCCAAGAAGTTCGCAAGTTAAGAACATCGTAAGAAGAGGAGAAATCGGTATTCGCGAACGCATTCTTAAGTAAAGGAGGAAAGCGACGTTCTCGCACGGAAAAACTAGAACTTCCGGTGTACCGCAAGCTTCCAATCACCGCGAGAGCGGGCTCTTGCTATGGCGATGGCGTCTCGGCAACATGAACAACCAATCTGGAAGCTCGGCATGACCATGAACACGTGGATTTTGAATAACAAACGCAAGCGGCCTTTTCGCCAACGATCGTCTCGGGTTCCCGTCCTTGCTATGAAATGTCGATTCTAACAGGATTTAAACGGGCCTGAATGCCGAGGCCGGGATAACCGCCTTCGTCCACTGCTGCGAGCTCAATCGCTACAAAGTAAAAAAAAAAAAAAAATGTTGTCGTTGCTAAAACCAGGCGGCCCGCACCGGTCGTTTCCTAAGCAGCGTAGATAGAAACATCGCCGGGGCGTCTTTCCAGGCCTCGGAGAAGCAGGAGCAAGCGGACGTCGAGGAAGATGCATTTGAACTTCTAGAGTGCCGGCAAGAGTCACGTAAATGCGTGTTCACACTCAGTGCAGGCGCGACTTTGATCGAATTGCTGGTTTCGCGTTGTTGGACCGCGTCTTGGTAATGGCTTCGGGACCGACCTTTTACGATTGCAACTCGGTGCTGACGTGACACTCGGCAAAGGAAAGTTGGACCGCATCGCGTAGCTCCCACGAACTGTTCTAGCTCAACAGTGGTGACGTACCGTCGTGTCGGAATAAAAATGGCGTACTAATAACAAAGAGTACAATCTTTATGTTGCGAAGGTATCCATACCGCGTTTATTTGAACTCAATATCACATATATAAATGAGGTAGAATCGACGAGACTTCCTTTTCGATGATAGCGTTCGACACGCCTGCCTAGGAAGACAAGGGGAATAGATTGAGCTCTTAATCTCAAATTGAGATCAGCGATCAAACAATTCACACGGGAAGGGTCAACAAAAAAATGGCGCGGGCATATCCCATCCAGCAAGCTAGCCGGTCGTGGGCAGACGGTCTTGGTCAGTGACCGTTGGAACAAGGCTGCGTCCGTGGCTGCGTCGGAGCAGGTCGGAGTGCCTTGCTACGCCCATATTCTGCCGCGCTCGCTCAGCTAGCCCTTGGCGGACGCTTGGTCTGTGGGATCGTTGCCGTTGTAGCTTTTCACATGTTTTTCTGGATCCAGCGTTCATGTCCGTCGTGGTCAGCTTCAAGTACTTCTTTCTTCTTGCTGCTTGAAGTCGGGACGCGCTAGAAGAGCACGTAAAAAAATAAATGTCCGTTTGTCGTCTCGACCAAGTAGCTGTGCGACACTGTCAGTCGTGTTGATTCCATCATAAAAAAAGTAGGTAAGACGGCTCCGGAGCTTTCGGGGGATTCAATCGTAACCTGCGCAAAACTTACGATAATTCGGTATCGTGAATACGAATTTGTTCTAACGTTTTGTCGTACGCACTTTTTTGGCGTAAGATCGTTTCGCGCATCCGGCCTCTAAACATTCTCGTCCTAAAATTGTCGTTTCTGGAATTTTTGGCGGCGACAAAGTGATGTTTTTCAACTTTGGGAAGGAATTATTCGAAGCCGAATTCTCCCCTTCGAAATGGAGTATGCGACTTTAGAGTTCTTCCGCCACACTCAACGATGCTACCGTGGTCATGAAGAGGGACTGTTGGTAGTGACGTCGGTGGTGTTTGAGAGAGTGAGAAGGGACGGAGGACGGCGAAAAAAACAACGGGGAAATAAAAAAAGCAGTACTGGAAACACACACACACACAAATTAGGTAGCAGGAAGGGCCGTAGAAAAT